CAAGAATATAGTTTGCTAATATGACTCTCAAAACACAAGCAAGAAATTCCAGATGCAGGATTGCCAAAGTTTTTTGGAGCAAGTCACAATTTCGCTCCTAGAAGCTGTACTGAAATTCTTTGAACATCTTCACAGCATAGGAAAATTACTGTTGCATGTGCTATTTGACTCGCACCACAAAAAAACATGCATTTTCCCTTATTTCTATATATATTGTGTATTATATAGTGTCTGTATATCTTTAAGTTAGATAACTATTTCAGTTCACTGTACCTTCTCTGGAAGCAGAGAATCCCACTCTGACTTAGCTGACCAGGCCTCCTGAATCATTAGCCTGGCTGGCAACAAGGCTGAGATGAAAAAACTGATGAGATCATAAATACCTTGTGTTATAGACAAAATCTTCTGTTTAGTAGAATTTTCTATTTCAGCATCAAATTTATCGCATATCATTAAACAATCCTTCTTTCTGTCCCATCTAATCCCCCGAACTGAAGCTGGAGTTGTAAGATCTCCTTTAAACAAACTTCTGTTTTCAGATGATAACTTTTCTGTGTCTTCTCCAGGACTGGGTTGCTATAATCTCAAATTCACTTTAGCTTCAACCATAATTTCTTTTGGCTTTGAGATAAATTCTTCTAGTTCATATGCACTATCTACGAGGTTACGCAGTTTTCAATATAGAAGGATTTCAGGGGTTCTCAATAATTGCTTTGAGTTCTTCTGGATACTTTTCCAGATGGTACCAGTCTTTTCGCGAAATCTCAATAATATGGCGGGAATTTTAGGCCATTTAAAAAAAAACAGTTATTTAAGATTGGTGCTCTTTCAACTTTACACAAGGTGTCAAGAACTGGTCTGATAGAGGTAGTGGTACTCTCTGACTTAATAACTGGATGATGATTTAAATAGTGGCCTCCTAACTCTTCTAATTCCTTTTTTGGGACTTCCTGCATGACATTCTGTAAAGATTTGGTGCTATTTAACTTCTTCAGTCTTCTGGTAGAACAAAATAACCTTCTTTCTGCTTCATTTCCACTTGAGGGGATTTTGGGTCAATACAAGTCCATGGAAGACCAACACAGTAATGCCTGTCTTCACATCGACCAACACAGTAATGCCTGTCTTCACATCTCATAAATTCTTTAAGGAACATGTCATGGACTAGCTCTTCTTCTTCCTTCTCAGACAACATTCGAGCAGGATCATTAATTCCTTTTGTTTCTAGCCACCACAAATCTGGAACATTCAGTTCTGTTAGAGATAAATTAATATACAACGTAGCTGTACCACTGCTCACCTCACGTAACCTTGGGATGCATTCTCTAACTCACCGCAAATTGCCCATCCAAGTTTTGTTTGAATTGCTGTTAGACTATTATTCAGTTGCTTGATTTGACCCATTAGGAGTAGCCATAAGCATTGCTGCCAATTAAAATTTCTATTTCTGGACTTGCAGTTCCAGTATCTGATATACACATTCTATTTTTAAGCTCTTCTAGAACAGACTGCTTGGGAATGCGAGGAATTTTCCTACATATCTTTTCTTGGTCAAGGAATTCGGTTGTGAGAATTGATTTGTGACTATTATTTGGTACACTTAATTTAATTTTATATTTACTATGAAGTTTAGCTTCTGTTTGTGCACCTCCAAATATCCTGTTGGTAATAGTTGCAGTAGCGAGAGGCTTAAGATCAAGTTCTTCTGTGGTGCTTTTCAAAATATAACTCCTTTGGGACCCACTGTCTAATAAGAGTCATACCTTCTTAATTTTCTTATTATCCTTAATCAATATTTCTAGTGTCATGACAACTATTTCTTTTGAACACTGCTGATTTGGGAGTGTGTTCTGGACATTTGCTGGGGCTTTGCTTTTATTACTAGTTTCTTTTGCTTTGCCCATTTCAGGACAGAAAAGTTCTGTGACTATGCAGTCCTTAATTTCATGCGACTTACCACAGAACAAACAAGGTATTTCATTAGCAGCGAATAAACCAGCTGCCGTAGGGTACTTATTATTCCTTTTCATCATTTTCTCTTTTACTTTATCTTTTGGGATAATACTTTCAAAGCCTTACCTGGCTAACTGTAGTCTCTTTACCCGCTACCTCCTCCTTAAATGTTAAATTCAACTTCGGAAAACTCGCTTCACTATCAGAAGCTTCCTTTTCTCTAACATCGTATTTCTGACATGCTCTTAAAATATCATCAGCTAAGCAGGATTCCATCATGGGGTACAGCAAGGCTGAAGTACTTCTACATCAAGCCCCCATGGATTCTAAAGACCTTAAATGTGCGTCTACCTTGGTAAACAAGTCACACGATGATAATTTGTTTTTACACTTAGCTTGGACATTTGCTATAATTAATTAAAAAAATTCCCTGACGTACACTTCGAAAAGAATTTCTTTGTACCCAATATGCTCTTGAAAAGCTGACAAAGTTTTCGAATAATTTTCTGAAGTTATTGAATAACTTTCTAATAAACAGCTAGAGCTCCAGGTTCTACAGCTTGCAGCAAATATTGGAACTTGTCACGATCATCCAATTCTTTATCTTCATGAATTTTCTTAAACTGTGCCCAAAATGTCAAATAATTGATTAACTGAAAATCAAAAGGTTTTATATTCAATTTAGGTAATTCATATTGTTTGACTATAGAGTTACTACTGACATCAGAATTACTAAAAACTGTGTCATTTGGAATTTTGTTTAGATTTAGTAATTCAGTATCTTTTCTTTTAATTGTGATGAATTCATCAGAATATTTCTCGTTTTCATCCATCACTTTCGCATTGACGGACTTATCACATTTACCATCCTCTAGTAACATATCTATTATACTGTTATCTAAAACCTTTAATTCACTCGTGATGCTTTCAATTTTAGCATAAAAATCAGAAATTTCACCTTTATTGGAAGAATCCTTTTCTAGTTTTGATTTGTGAATTTCATATGTTTTTGTGAATGACACACGTAAAGAAGCATGTTTCTTTTTTACTTTATCCATGTTCTATAATTACTCAATCGTAATACTCTATGATTAACTATATAACTTAGTATTAATAAGTAAAAACTTTGTTTCGATACCTTAAGAACACTCAGAATATTAAATTCAATTACATTCTTTCACAAAATTAAAATACACACTTTATTCAAGAACATAAAACTTCTAATATATCTAAATGAAATGATGATATATCTAAGTGATCTAATGAAAATATTAAATATCTATTTCTATTCAACTTAAATATTAACATGCTTTCATTCAACACAATGCATCTTTAGAAAACAAACAAAATTCAAGTACTTCCATTTTGAAAAGCATATAAATAACAAGTTCTTCATTCATTTGTTTTTCGTTAGGACAGCACGTCCTACTGGCAGACACCAGAAGATTTATATTAAGTAATTAATCAATTGCTGTTGATTGAAGTTGTCAGCATCCACTGATGTATGCAGGTGCTACTTATTAATCTGGTTTGAAAAAAAGAAAAAACTTCATTTACCTTTTCTCAGGTGTCAGGACTGTAAATGTGATGTTAAAAAAAAAAAAAAAAAAAAAAAAAAAAAAAAAACTTCTTTAAAGAAAACAACACATTTTGATTCACATTAAACACTGAAATAAAGGGGGGATTAAATGCTATTTCTTTATACAGCCTCTTTCCCATTAATGGCTATAAGAATCAACTGCTCGTCCATACTGGTACAATCCGGAACAGAAAGCTCACTGCTTAAATAGACAGAAAAGATAAATAAATAAAAAAGAGATTTGTATTTTCTCACGCTAGTGGAACCCTTGTTGCTATCTGGTGAGGGAAAGGAACACTTTAAAAGGAATTCTTGTTGCCACTGAACTATATGATAAATTATTTTTCTCCTTTTAGTTCATTAAGTAGTGAGAGAACTGTTTGTGTCACTAATTCTGCCAATATCAGTATCAACTGTACCAATGGAATGGCTTTTTTCACCAGTAAGAAAAATTGATTTGAATAATATAATGGGCTAATGAATTATATCTGGACCTATGCTATAATTCAGTCTTCATAAACCAAGCAAAATTGAATTGTTACAACAATATAAATAGTTCACAATTTTAAAAGGATTTCCATTTTAAACCTCAAAACTGCCAAATTTTAAATCATTATAATTTGTATTTCATTATTTTATATGCTATGTAATATTTTATTTTACAAAGATAATACACAAGTAATATAACTAGCTTTGAAATACATATAATGCTAACTCTCATATATTTATACAATTTTTTAAAAATTCGGTATTAAGGGTAAATTCAGGTACATTTTTGTTAAAATATAAAGCAAAAAATTGAATATTAAATTAATATATTTTATTTTAGAATTTTGTCATAATTTTCAAATGATGTATTATAAACTGCCTTCAAATGAAATTTGTCAGTTTTTGTCAGAGTCCTTTCGAAGCTAATTAATGCACAGCAGAAAACCGTTCGATTTTTCATATATCAAGATTGGAAACTATAGATTATACAATTTACGCTGTTTTTATATGCTATTTCTTTTGAAATGTATATATATATATATTTTAAAAGCATGGTTTGTCAAATATATCAGTAACTTATATTTTCAGTAAGTCAAAAACTTTTGATTTCTTATCCCTTGTATTTCAATTTATTAAAGTTTGACTCTACATACATAAAAATTTCTTTACTTGCACATAAAAGCATATGCTTTTTACTGAAAATTTATTCAGTAAAAAGAATAAATTTTAATAAATTTAATTTATTCAGTAAAATTCTAATTAACAAAGTTTCCCCCTTATTTTAATTCTTTATATAAAAATTTATAAAATATGGTTTTCTTAATTTTTATATTAAAGTTGTAAAATGTACAAATTTTATCACTCTGTAAATTTTTTAATATAGTTGCTTAGTGTTGTTATACTATATATATCTTTCTTCATTTGTAACTTTGCTTTAAGAACTCAGGTTGAAAATTTTAGTGTTTTCATTTCTTTAAAGGGCAAAAGCCTCCAAATTTCTCTGAAGTTCACAATATTTGCGCTCATCTGGCAGCATCACATCTTATTCTGGTCGACAACTTTCAAAACGATTTACATATGAAAATACGTCTGAATGTTAGTTCTGATGATGTAAGTTATGCATTAACAGGAAAGTGATGACTACTGTTAAACTGGAATTCAACCAGTTTTATATAATTTGCTTTATTCATTGTTTTTGACTCATAAAAGTATAAAGAAATTTTTAAGAATATTGTTGATTTATCTGTAAAATTTCAGAAATGAGTGTTTATACATTATATTAATGTTGCAATCATAATTAAATTTGTAAAATTAATAGTTAAAAATTTAAATTATGTATATACTATTTTTGTACTATATGCCATTGTATACTCTCATTAAAATGTAACAAAAGATTTTAAAATGTTTAAGTCTTTGTGTCATTTAATTTCAGTGTTAACATTTTTAGTTATGTAGTAATAAATATTCTATACATTTTCATCTGTGTTTTGGATTGCATTCCTTGTTATTTTGTATTGGTGCTTGTCAAGCAGTTTTAATTCATTTGTATAGCTGAGAAGTCTAGTTTCCATTTTGTATTCATCATTTGTAATATGAAAATAATAAAAAATTTCTACCATTTAATGTGTTAAATATGTATTAATAAAGATAGTACAAAGTCTGCAATCCAATATGTATCTCTGGACTAACTAATATATAACAAAAAGCAGGTAACTATCAATACAAATTTTCTTTGAACTAGATTCCTGCTTGTCACTTTCAGACACCTGATTTAGAAATCCCCATTGTCCCCAATAACAGTGCATTGGTTGCTGTATTAGTGTTTGCCTCAGTCACACTTTTGGCACTTGAGTGACTCTAGAGGATTAGCATTTTTCTGTTTGATTTAAATAATAAATGAAGCTGCAAAACAAATATGCCAATGACAATGATTATAAGTTACGGAGTGCCTATGGTTCAAAACCATGTACCTCCACATCAGAAAAATATCTAAGTAGTGAGCAGAAATAGAAAAATTGCCTAATTGGTTATCATGATGCACACTAGAGGGAGCTAAATTAGCTCAAGAAAGGTTAGGGATAGGAAAAATCAAGCTTTTATTTTTTTTTTTTTTTTTTTTGGAAGTTTTATGATTTTAAACTTTTTTTTTTTATTTTTTAATTTTTTTGGGGTATTTTTTTAAAAATTTTATAACACATAAGTATGACACTAAAGCAAAAAGCGGAAAGGAAAGATTTTACAGATTAATAGGCTCATTGGCATATGGCACTAATCATAGCGAAGTAAAGATTAAATTTTCACAAAAAAATATCCAGGGCAGCGGGCATGATGTGAGCCACTTTTCAGTAATACTGGAGTAGGAGAATGGTAGAGCAATTACTTGGCTAAGTATGTCCTTTATGGGTTAGGCGCTGGAACTGAGAACAGAGGGGCGTGTCTACGCCTTTTAGCTGGAGGATAGATGCCGTATTCTCGTCCCATGATTGAGCAAGGTCTTTTCTGCGAGCTGCAAATAGCAGGATCGTAGGCCGGTAACTCTTGAAGTGCACGATTATAAGTCTGTTCAGTTTTGAGGAATAAATTTTGACTAAGTTTCTTAATAACAACGTCTATGGGTTTAATGTTAAGATCCGAATGAATCTCATCAGTACGGACATAATAGGCTGCATTAAGGATTAAACACAGGGTCTTACTTCGGAAGTTTTGAAGTTTTTTTATGTGTGTTTTTGCAGCTGTACCCCAGATGGTGCAAGCATACAAAAATATTGGTCGAATGATGGAAGTATAGAGAAGAGCTTTGTTTTTGATTGACAGAAGGCTCTTTTGGCCTAAAAGGGAGTAAAATTTGTTTGAAATGTGTATTGCTCATATTGTTTTTTTTTGTTGGCTTAGCAGTGGGAAAGGGAGAAAGATTTCTAGGAACTTAAGTTCCATTAAATAGCAAACTGCACCACTTTCTCAACTAACTTGACTTTTTTTTTTTTTTTTTTTTTTTTTTTTTTTTTTTTTTTGCAGCAGCAGCTTAATACAGGGTTCACACAGTCCTTAAAAGTCCTTAGGTTTTTTTTGAATCGATTTTTGGTCCTTAAAAGTTCTTAATTTCAACCCAAATTGGCAGAAGGTCCGTAATTTTAATCATCTGAAATTTCTGTCTGTTTTTATGACTGCCATTCTGAGTGTGAATTAGCATTTTGAAGGAATATTTTTGGTGATTCACTGACAAATATGGTTACTTTTTTGAATGAATTCGTGGGTTATAATTTGTTCCTATTTCTAATACAGTCAAAAGTCATTAATTCGGACACCCATAATACGGAATGATCTATAATCTGGACCTCAAAGCTACAAACTTTCTGCGCATGCGTCTCGCTGAGGTAAGGCGTAAGACCTTTACGGCTGCGAATATGCGTGTGTGCGTGCACAAAATACGTTTACGAATGCGCGTTTAATGTATAACGGACGGTATAAGCTAAGCTAAAATTATCTAATTCAGTTAATGTTGCAGATTGCGTTGTTCCTTAATCTTCGAATTGGATTCGGCTTATTATGTTTTGCAGACTGTTAGAGCAATTTTATAAAAGTAAGCTTGAACTTTTGATTATGTCAAATAGAATTTCTGATATATATTTACTAATATGTAAAGGATCTACAAAGCAAAAGTATGTTTTGAAGTCCATTAAACAAAAAGTGGAATTACTACAAAAAATGGAAAGGCATATCCTTTGTTTATATAAACTTATCTTTAACGCCGCGGCGCACAATGATCTATCAGCACTATCCTTATCTTCAGGGCAGATGTTTTTATTTTATTTGGCTTATAAATTCCTTACTAAATGTAGTATTTCATCTCGATGTACTCCGTCTTTGATATGATTTAAATCAAATTCCTCGTCATTATAATTCGCTTCCGATAGTGAAGAAAGTGACAGAGGTTATTGAAAACGAAAAAATTTTGATTGACAAATTAGTCGGTATTCTTGACACAGCAATTATAGGGCTTGAACAGCGGAACTTTGTTAATGAACAAGAAATTATGTCTGTTTATAGAATTAAAGAGAATGTGTTATCACATAAAAAACGAAGCAACTTAAACAACTTACATTCAAAGAAATGTTTAATAAAGTAAACAAATAAATATTAAGCTTTTTTTTTGTAAATTTTGATACCCTTTAGATCATAATTTTCTTTATTTCATAAATTATGGTTTCATATTTTTAATTTTATAATTTCTGCATGCCATCTTACCAGATTTAAACTGATGATCTATAATCCGGAATCGCCGAAGTCTCGACGACTCCGGATTAACGACTTTTGACGGTATAAATGGTGGGATACTAAAAAGTTTCTGAACAAGAAGTGAAACATAAGCATTTCAAAATTATTTCATTTTTTCTATGAAAATTTCAATCAGTTATTTCGTACTTTTCAATTTGGGGATGCGAATTCTTTTATTAAACTGTTCTAAATTTGGAGACTTATCACTATTTTGGCGATTTTAAGATCAATTTCTCTAGAAACTTTTTAATTCCGAGATATGGGAATTTTTCAACGATTTTTTTTTAACATTGTAACATTGGTAAATTTCATTAAAATAATGGTTATATATTGAAATTATATTTAAAGAGTAACATTAAAATAAAAAATTTTTAATTTTTGCTATCATATTTATTATAAGTTTTATTTTAGCCACTTATACAATATTTTAAATCTGAAAAATAAACAAATAGTGATAAGTGCAATTTACGAAGCAGTTGTTAGCCAAAGCATAGCTACGTAATTAATTAAAAATGTCTTCTTAATTTAAGGCAAGAGTTTTTCCCATGTAATTGTCTTTCTAAGAATATGCTTCGGTTTTCTCTATAAAATTAATTTTACACTTTTTCTGTCTGATTTTTTATTTCAAAATATTTCTTTCTTTTTGCTGTTACAGAATTGTTAGGGGTAGTTTTTCTTTAGGATTTTAGCCATTGCAGCTTGGGAAGTTTAGAAGGATTCGAAGGCAAGATTTATAGACACACAATTCCAGAAAAATGGGACAAAATAAAAAAAAAAATGTCTCCATGGTATTAACACATAATGGGTGCATTTATGGGAAGTTTGCAATGAATTTCTTACTTTTTGAGAACATTTGGAAGAACAATAAAACATAATATTTGAATGTTTTACTTCTGATACTAGAAAGCTTTTCTTAATGTGTTTATCTTCCCTTTATTTTGTCTACTTTTCACTAGACACAAGCATGGAAAATATCAAAAATGCTTCTAATCTTTATCATATGGGAAGCTGTTATATAAAGGAATTTTCGGTACTTTTCCGTTTTGCCGGCGCAAACGATAAAGTCGCCAATAATGGTTTAACTGATGCCAGACGGAATATCTTCGCTGGTAACCTTTTACGCCTCATTTTCAAAACAAGTCGTGAAGCCATTTCTTATCAGATAGATTGTTTCTTTCAATAACTGGCATACAATTAATATAGAATACAATACTGGCATACAATTACAAAGATAATTTAAATTTTATAATGCCCTAAGACCAATTCACGGTAATTAAGTCAATTAAAACGCAATTCACACCGCTCATCCGAAGGCGAAATATAGAAAAGTAAAATCAAGGGTTAAATTCATCAATTCTAATGGGAATGCACTAGCGAAGTAAAGCACTGCGGTTTTACATAATTTCTGAGTAAGCTATTCGTACGAATTGAAATAATTCTTGCATTTAAACTTGTATTCCAAATTAAGATTTAACTTAAAATTAATGTAGATTATTATTGAGTGAATTAAATTTTAGTAGCGTAGTTTACGTGAGATGAGATCACTTGGGTCACGTGATACGAACCGGCGAATCAGGATTTTGAACCATGAAATCATAGTAAATTTTAAATTAATGTCTTTTTACAAATTTATTGTCTTTATTTATTGGCTTTTTACAAAATTTTAAACCATATTAAAATGTTTATGCCTTCACAATATAAAAAAAAAATTCTTAGAATTAACATTTTTTATGTGTATACTGTATGTTGTCGCCAACAAAGTCTGCTTGGTGAGATTTGCGCCGGCGAAACGGAAAAGTACCGAATTTTTTTATTAATCAAGAAATTGAAAACTGACAATTTAAAAGATTCATCTAATATGTCTTAATGCATCTTACACAGGGCTGGCACTAGGCATTTTTCCACCTGATGCAGTCTCTGAGGATCGTAAATTCTTCTGCCTAGTGCCTTTCTAAATTCTGCTTTCGATGCCTGCTCTAAATTCTAAAAGTTTTGCCATTTCTAGATTTTGTTGCTCGGTGTGTCACTAAATTCTAAAAATTCTGCCACACCAGCTCTGTAACCGGCCCTTATCATAGATATTTTGTATTGCTTTTGAATGTTCATATTACAAAAGAAATAAAATTAGCAGCTTTTTCTATACATTCTATCCATTTAGGTTTTTCAGAATAACAGAAATCTTTAACTAAATCAAAATATTCTAAAATGAAAAGGAAATGTGTTGAAAAAAGAAACTGAATACTTAAAGAGAAAGAGAATTATTCTTCAAAGATATGTAGAGTTATTATTACATAAATTACCCAGTTGTTTATATTTTCAGCCTTTACTATAATTTCGCTTTATCACCA